TGGCATCAAGTACCACGAACTGGTTGTCTGCCCACGTGGTCCTTAGGCAATGAGCCTTTAGCCAACCCAAGACAATGACCGCGTCGAAAGGACACTTGTCCAGGACATAGAAATTCAGCTCATGTGTGACAGTGCGATCTTTGTCAAAGGTGATGCGCACACCTTTGACAGCATGAGTAGAAGTGACAACCTCTTGGTTGCCCACCTGAGTCTGGCAAGGGTTCTGCAGTTCCACTTGCTTCATACCCAGGCCCGCCTTACGAATCCCGTTCGGAGAGAAGAAATTAGTGGTCGAACCACTGTCAATCAGCACACGGATGTATCGGCGGTTAATGAGTAGTTGAAAGAAAATCAGCTCCACGCTCCCCTGAACACGGCGTTGCTGCTTGAGCTGCAGCCAATGCTTCATATGGGCATGGAGATCGACCTCTTTAGACTCCTCCCAATGCTCAGTGTACAATACTTGGACTGCGTCAGCCTTGGATTCAGCATTAGTTTGGGCTTCAAGAGAACGCTGCTGATCAGATCCAGGCTCCTCGGAAGGGCCTGCAACTGACTGCCCAACTTCCCTTGCTGTAGAGAGTGTTGATGACTCCTCTACGCCCCTTGCCCATTTCCCTGAAGACGATAGCAATCCTGCACAGCATGCCCAGGCTTTGAACAATGCAAGCATACGCGCAGTTTGGATCTTCTTTCCCATTCTTTTTGGCTGATGCAGAGGGCTTCCCAAGGTTTGGTGGAAGCGTCCTCCGATTTCTCAGGGATCTTAGCATTCTTGGGAAGGTGTATAACTGTTCCCTTACCCGAACCACGGCTGGGCCCTTATTCGAAGCAGTCTTTCTGAATGCATTAAGTTTTTCGTCATCATTTCCGTCACACTCAATGGCTGATGTGGAACAGCCCGTATCGGACTCCGACTCTAGATCGTCATCTAGAGACAGATCACCGCATAGGACTGATCGTCAGCCTCCCGATGATCATGCAGTGCAAGCTGGTTGCTGCTTCCAAACCGCTTGCGTTGTGGTTTCCCACCTGCAGCGGGTGCCTTCTTGCGCCTGGCGAGGTCCTTGGCCTCTAGGTCGACTAGGTCCTTTATGAGCTCCCGCCAGGTAGCATGATCTTTGAGTGCTAGCAGGGAGAGGTATTCTTTAGGGGCCACTCCCATGACTACATCCATGCAAGACACGTCAGTCATTCCTAGATCCGAAGTGGTGAATAGACCAGTCAAGTGTTGTTTCAAAGCCTGCATGGATGACCTCCATGTTTGGCCCTTGAGGGCCTCAAGCTTCAGTCTAGCCTTGAGCGTAGCATGTTTATCCTGATACCGGTCAAGGAGAAGATCCTCAAGGGTGCAAACAGGGGTGACCTTCAGCCAATCAGTCAGGTCTATGTGTGCATAACCTGCAGCAACAGCTTGAAGCTCAATGAGGTTTCGTACGGCAGGCTCGGTATTAGTTCCCATGATCATACTTCAGTCCTCTTGCGGTGTCCGCATGACCTCGAAGTACGACCGCATGGAACTAATCCAAGAGGTGATGTCAGCCTTCCCGTCGTACTTGGACGGCAGCGTGGCCGCCCGCTTGTCCACCATGGGACCGCTGTACTGAACGCCAATAAGAACTGTGGCGTTTTGGGTTGAAGTCCCTGCATTTGGGACTGCGACCAGCGCAAAATTGCCAGTGCTGCCCCTTGAGGAGCTGGCACCGGTTCCTGTACTTGCCACAGTTCCGCTGGCCCTTGGAACGAGGGTTGTGCTGGGCTGAGAGACTGGGATTACAGCAGATCGAGGGTTAGGAGGGCGGGGGGCAGATAGTTGGGACTGTTTAAGGCTAATTACCTTAGCCTGCAGCTCTTGGTTCCGCTGCTCAAGTGCTGTCACACGGGACTCGAGACCTTCCAAGTTCCGCAGTCAGACCAAGGCTGCCTCTCCTGGAACCGGTCAGCATTGGCTTCCGGGACCTGTAGGAGGGCCTCCTGCGCAGCTATGCTCGTAGCTCTAGCTGCTGCCTCCACCTCCCTTTCCCTCTGTACGGCATCATCATACAATTTTTGAAAGAACGGTTTCTGACTCTCGTCTGCTGCGTCCAGCATGGCCTGCCATTGGTCAGACGTGATGACCGCCATGCTGGAGGAAGGAATGTCAGTAGTGCTCTCAAGAGGGGTCCGCTCTCTCCCTACGTTTGTACGAACACTCCTCTTGCCCCTCCTCACACTCTCAAACAGCACACCTTCTCTCAAGAGTGCTCTCAAGAGGGGTCCGCTCCGATACCAATTGTTACGATCCTGGTCATTTCCCAAGTGCAAATTCACAATGAAAGACAACGCCACCCAATTGCGAAAGAAATGAAAGCACTTGCAAGAGATAAAGACCAGAGGAGAGGTAAAGAAGAAGAAGAAGAAGAAGAAGAAGTACACCAGCAAGACCAATGACAATTCCCCTTTCTCTCTCCACCTTCCTCCTTCCTCCTTCTCTTCACCAATCTTATTCTTCTCTCAACAATAATAATAACAATGAATGGATGAACCAGAATCAATGTCCGAAGTTCCCCCTTACTGCTGACTCAACTCACAATAACAACAACAAGTCCACCATGGCTATGTCTTCCCTCCTTCAACCTCTTCTCTCAAGCATGGGCCATGGCGGACTACTAGAAGGCAGCTATGATGCTGCCCTGATGCCCGAAAGACAACTCAAAGCAGCTATGTCGCTGCTTGACTTGGTCCGCTATGCCTGACCCTGCCTCGAGCTGCCCTGGTGCAGCGTTACCCCAACTGGGGCCTTCCAGATGCAGCACCCAACAAGGTAATGAAGACGGTGTCCACCATAGCCAGGTAAGTGCCCTACCACTCTCCTACCATGTCCCCCTTCTTCCTCCTTCAAGCTGGGGTGCTCGCCATAGCCAGGCTGAGCCCCAGCAGA